TTTTATATGAAGTCCATGTGTTCATTGGAAAAAATTCTGCCATTTCGTGGCAGTGGTTTTTTTTTTTTTTTACATAAATGGCACCTTTTGGGTTTGCGAAGTTCTGAAGTTTGCTTCTTCACTCAGCTCTTTGAGATCTAATAATGTCAATCATCTTAGGTCTGGGACGCTCCTTTTATCTTCTGGATAGAATTTCACTCTATGAAATGTGCCACACTTGTCCTCAGATGGATGCAAATTGTTTCCACTATTTCGTATCACAAACCGTGCTGCAGTAAGTATTCTTGCACACTTCACCTTGGGCCCCTTGAGAGTGTTTCCACAGGCTGTGTTCCCAGAACTGCTCTTGCCAGCCTGGAAATATGCCAAGCGTGGCCACAACAGTGGCCTTCCTCCCGAGCCTCTCCTAGTTCGCCAGGACTTAGTGTTGTCAGCACGTTTTACTTTTGCCAGTATGATAGCTGTGAAAGGAGATATTATTGTTTAAACTTCATTTCTCTGTTACTGAGGTTGGACATGTTTTATGTGTTTATTGGTCATTTGCGTCTCCTGTCCATTCATTTTCTTTGCCTATTGCTTTTTTTCTCTTCCCCTAGACTTCAGTTCTTGGTCTATTACGTGTGTTGCAAATATTTTATCCATGTATCTACTTATTTAAGAAACACTTTAGGGTTCTTTTGATAAAACTTTTAAATTGTGATGGGATCAAGTATGTCAATATTTTTCTTTTAAGACTTCTGCCTTCTACATTTGAAAGGAAAGATTTGTCCACCACTAAAATAATAGAGAGATTCTCTTATATGTTCTTCTCATAATTTAAAAGTATTAAAAAAAGAACTTTAAGCTGTTAATGTATCTGCGAATGATCTTTGTGTATTATATGAAACTGGGACCCAAATTAATTCTTTTCCCATTTGATCAGCACTGTTTATTGTATTGTTTATTATTCCGCACCAGTGCTACTTTTACTGTATATGAACATTTAGGCTCTTTTTTGGATTTCATCCTGTTCTGTTCCTGCTCCTGATAACCTGCTATTTTAATAACTATGGCTTTATAATATGTCTTAATATTCATTAGAAAGTTTGGACTCTTTCTTCTTTTTCCTTAAAATTTTGTTGACTAGCTCTTCTTCCATTACTCTTTTAGAATCACTTTATTTCATTTCACAAAAAAGAAAAATCTAGTAGGATTTTTGATTTTTTTTTTTAAGTTAAAAACCGCCAGATTGTATACTGTTACTTTTTCCTAAAGCCTTCAGAATGTATTATTTAGCTTTCCCTATGTATTTTTCCTGTTAGACAAAGGACTTCCCTGTTAGCTCAGTTGGTAAAGAATCCACCTGCAATTCAGGAGACCTCAATTTGATTCTTGGGTCAGGAAGATCCGCTGGAGAGGGGAAGGGCTACCCACTCCAGTATTCTTGGACTTCCTTTGTAGCTCAGCTGGTAAAGAATCCACCTGCAATGCAGGAGACCTGGGTTCGATCCCTGGGTTGGGAAGATACCCTGGAGAAGGGAAAGGCTACCCACTCCAGTATTCTGGCCTGGAGAATTCTGTGGACTGTATAATCCATAGGGTCACAAAGAGTCGGACACGACGGAGCTACTTTTACATATTTTTCCTGTTAGATAAAGAGCAGGGTAGAACCAGGTCTGGTGGGACCTTGGGTTTATACAATTTGGGAAGTCTTTTTAAGAAAAAGAATATAAAGTTAGGAATGCAATAGTGGGTGCTGTCCCTTGGGATGATAATGTGATGTTTTATTCACATCATGGTAACCCCTCCTCAGAATAGCCCCTTCTCAGTCTCACTCAGAGAGAAAGTGTCAGCAAACGGTGCCCTCCCTCCCACTAGAATAAAGCCCTGGTTCGTGACTTCCAAGCTACTTAGGTGATATAAGCAAATAGAATAACAATTAAATTCACAGCCTCAGTAGTGTTTCTAGCTGCGTGTCATATAAAACCACTACCTGACTTTCCCCGGGACAGCACCTCACGTCTGAGGATCTCAGGGCACATTAAGAACATTAACTAATTAAACCCCACAAAACCCCCAGAGACACGGGAAGGAGAGACATGGCCTCACCTCGCCCAGTTCTGAAATGCAGTCACCTCTGGGGACGAGTGTGGCAGCTGCTTTGAAATAAGCAGCAGCACCCATGACACTTTAGCCCAGACAATTAGTCGTTGTCATTGGAAATTGTCTTGTGAGCATTAGCCTGTCAGACAGTGATAGCTCCAGGATTAATTGTTGACTGTGAATCTAATCCAGTCCCTGAAATTTCTGGCTTTTTAGTAATTTTGTCCTAATTAAAATGGGCTTCCCTGGTGGCTCAGGTAGTAAAGAGTCCTCCGGCAATGCAGGAGTCCCGGGTTTGACTCGTGGGTGGGGAAGATACCCTGGAGAAGGGAATGGCAGCCCACTCCAGTATTCTTGCCTGGAGAATCCCATGACAGGGGAGCTTGGTGAGCTACAGTCCATGGGGTTGCAAATTATAAAGTAAATTCAATACATAAATAACACAGACATACTGTATAGCTCTGGGAACTCTACTCAGTATTTTGTAATAACCTGTAAGGGAAAAGAATCTGAAAAAGAATATATATACACATACACACATACACATGGGCTTCCCTTGTGGCTCAGCTGGTAAAGAATCTGCCTGCAGTGTGGGAGACCTGGGTTTGATCCCTGGGTAGGGAAGATCCCCTGGAGAAGGGGCTACCCGCTCCAGTCCATGGGGTCACAAAGAGTCAGACACAAGTGAGTGACTTTCACTTTCACACACACACACATATATATAGGTTGTTGTTGTTTAGTCACTCAGTTGTATCTGACTCTTTGCAACCCCATGGACTGTAGCCCACCAGGCTCCTCTGTCCATGAGATTTTCCAGGCAAGAATACTGGAGTGGGTTGCCATTTTCTTTTCCAGAGGATCTTCCCAACCCAAGGATCAAGCTTGAGTCTTCTGCATTGGCAGGCAGATTCTTTACTGCGGAGCCACCAGGGAAGCCCTGATATACATATAAAACTGACCCACTTTGTGTACACCTGAAACCAACACAACATTACAAATCAACTATGCTTTAATAAATAAATGCACAGGGGAAGTCTAGTTTTCTTTTAAACTAGACTGTTTTTGGTAGTTCTTCAAATTTAAAGCTTAAGTCTATCTTTTTCATTAAAATATAAAGTGTAAGAATAGGGAATTATACACACACACACACACACACACACACATATATATATATATAAAATTTCAAAAACTTTGCTGCTGAGCTGGTGTAAGTCAGACCAGCCACTACCTTTAAGGGGTGTGTTGGCTGGGCAGCAGGTGAGGGAAATCTCTGGGCTCTGGAAAAGCTTTAATATTCATTTAAGTGACTGTTACATGGGAGTCGATACATGTAGAGATTCATGTGCATTCTACTGCACACAAGTTGTATTACCACAACAAGCTAAATTCACCTAAATAGCCCTCTACTCTTGTCAACCTGAGAACACTGGAAACGCTGTACAGACAACTGGAAAGTTCTGCAGGAAGAAGGATGTTTCCAGGTGCTAGGGACATGCTAGGGTTCATTGTCCCCAAAGCATCTTTCTTCAGAGCAGGGATTCTGAGTCCCTTGTCCTCTCTCCTGTCACCTGCTCTCCACGTAGAAGAGCTTCTCACTCTGCTGGGGTGACATTCTCTCATGGTAACTTCAACGTCACGTACCTCTTCATCTCTCCCCTTCCACCTCTCTGGGCATCTGACTTTTCTCTAACCTAGAATTTCGTTCTGTTTCATTTGTCTGTGTCTGTGTCTCCCAAAGTAGTGTATAGGGTGTGAGCCAGTGCATATGCGGGGTCTAGAGGTAATCTGCAGGACCCGTTGACTCTGGCTGCTGCTGGAGGAATCAGACGCAGTGTGAGAGGGGGACACAAAGAGGGTTGCAGCCTCTGGCCCCATCCCGTCTGCTGTGATGCTTAGAAATGGGAAGATGGGGCAGCAGGGCATGCCGGCAGCCCAGTGTCTGGGGCCTCCTGCAGGCCTAGGGTCCCTCCCGTGTCTATGCAGACAGTTTTTGGGAGGGCCAGCCCCCAAGCAGAGCGTCCTAGGGCTGGAAGGAGCTGAGGCCCAGAGGCTGCAAGCAGGGGTCAGGGCTGAGTCCCTCCGTGGAGCAGACACAGAGGGAGCGAGAGAGGATGGGTGGGGGGCAGGGGAAGGGGGAGAGACGGTGGAAGAGGAGAGATGCAGGGGGTGCAGGGCTGGGGTTAGGGAGAGAAAGACAGGAAGAGAGACAGGAATAAAAGAGCAGGAGGAGGAGGAAGGAAAGGAGGGGGAATAGCTTTTTAGACACATGGGAAAACTTCTGCTCTATTTTTTGGTGAACAGTATGAACACGTGAACACTACATACATGAACACCACCCTGATTATTGACTTTCCACAACATATTAAATGATACTGTAAGCTCAACTCTAGTTCTTGCTTAGAAAGTATAAATGTGCGTGTCATGGCTGCTTTCAGATGCCTGATCACAGTATTTCCACGTAGAGAGAAAGCAGCCCTGGGCTGCTTTGTGTCCTGAGAGCACAGGCACATCCGACTGCGGTCTAATTCCCCATTCTGTCTTAAAATCATTTCAAAGCCTGCCATCCAAGAGGATGATAACCAGTTGCTTACAAACCTCAAAGGGGCTCCCATGAAAGAGTCACGGAGCTCAGTCACTGGCAGCCCACCCGGCCCACCCTGGCCTCAGTTTATCCCCGCAGCTCCCGCAGGGCCGGGTGCCACTGGATCCTATCGTGTGAATGTGGCATGGAGAACTGAACCCAGGTGGGCCGCACAGATCGTGTTCTCCCCCCACCCCCTCGCAGTGCTGCCCCCAGCAGTTGGACCCTGCAGATGTGCTGCAGTTTAGAAACACACGACCACGCTGCCGCCAGTGTCCTGTGCTCTGCGGACATTGATCATCTCTTTTCTGTCCTCTTGTCACTCTTTCTCCCAAAGACTCCAAGCTCGAGAACATCAGCGAGGAATACCAGAAAATAGTCAAGAAGCCGCAGGAAGCTGTGTCGCTGGAGACCAGGGAGAGCATCCAGGTAAAGGAAAATGTCCGCCCAGCGGGAGCCCAGGGTGGGCCTGGGGCTGCTGCACCATCAGGTCAGGCGTGCTCCTGGTGTTGGAGTGAGTCCTGAGCGGGGAAGGGCCTCCCTAGCACTAAGAGCAGGGGACCAGGGCAGGGGTGAAACAGGCTGCATGTTCCTTGAGACATTGGAACATTGTAACATCTTCAAGAGTTCAGCTCAGAGTGGAATCCCATCCCTTCTCCCCTTCCCTCCTCAGTCCTCCCCTGGTTTCAGGAGGCTGACATGGATAAAGCCAATAGAAAATGCACCCTGTCCACAGACTCCAGTGAGGCAACGTCTTCTCCCTGCCTGACTGGGCCCCTCAGGCTGTAGAAGCACCCGCCAGAGCTCCCTGACCTGCCTTCAGCAGGATCCCTCTCCACCCCACCCCCACCTCCTGCTCTACAAGTGCTGCTGCCCTGACCATTTGTTCAGCTGCCAAGTCCTGTCCGACTCTTTGTGACCTCATGGACTGCAGCATGACAGACTTCCCTGTCCCTCACCATCTCCTGGAGTTTGCCCAAGTTCATATTCATTGCATCAGTGATACCATCCAACCATTTCATCCTCTGTCACCCTCTTCTCCTTCTGCCCTCAATCTTTCTCAGCATCAGGATCTTTTCCAATGAGTCGGCTCTTTGCATCAGGTAGCTAACATTTTGGAGCTCTAGTTACCACATCAGTCCTTCCAATGAGTATTCAGGCTTGATTTCCTTTAAGATTGACTGGCTTGATCTCCTTGCTGTCCAAGAGACTCTCAAGAGTCTACAGGGGAGCAAACTCCACACTGAAGGAGGCACAGTCAGCCATAGAGGACATAGGATTTGTGGGGATGGGCCGGGGATCCAGCCATCATTCCAGCTCTGCCACCCTCTGACCACTGATGATTCCCAGAAATAAAAACGCCCATATAGACTGGGCTCTGGGTCCTCACCTGCTCCTGCAGGACCTCGGGGCAAGTCCATGTGTCCTCTGTAACACGCCTCACCAAAGAGGTAGGGAGGACGAACAGGCTTACCTCTGGCTACCATGAGCAGCCCAGCCCTGCATCAGCACTGCGTGTGGCCAGGGTCCCAGCACGTGTTTTACGGCCCGGGCCCTTCTGCTTCCGGTCCTCCTGTCTCTTCCGTCTGTGTGAGACCAGGATGGGGGCTGGTGCAGTGTCATTGCTTCCTGGACTCCAGCCCCCAACTCCCTTTTTTTTTCTCCTTTCCAATCTTGGACAAAATAACATTCCCCCTGCCCATCAGCTCATGCAAAGAAGATCTTGGGAAGACAAAGAGGTAGGGAGGACCTTTATCTCAGCACTAGGCCACCTGGCTCACCCTGCCTTCGTTGTCTCTATGAAAAATGCCTTCCTGTACCACAGACCACAATAGGACCCAACCTGTAGCTGGGTGGGTGTTGTGTTTTGAAGACTGATTTTGTCTCTGCACCGAGGTTGGACACACATAACTGCTGAACTTTCTGTTAGGGACTGAGGGTGCTCATGGGGCTGAAACACATTCTCAGCCTTCAGGAGGTGGTACTCCATGGGAAGAGGAAAGCCTGGTAGTTCAGGATGTGGAAATGAGGGTGGAAAACCACCCAGGAGAGGGCCCTGTGGGACCCCTGAAGCTTTTAAAGAAAGTTGTATGGCATGGACTAGAGTATGGGAGAGGAAGCTGATGAATGGAAGTGATAAAAAGAACTTAGTAAGAGATATTTCTGCTTCTGGCAAAGATGGAGTGATAGAGACTAGATTTACTTCCCTGCCTGAAAAAACATTGCCAAAGTATATGAAGTAAGTTTTAAGGCTTCACTCATCAAGTAACAAAGGAGAGTGACCCTTAAGAGGTGGGAAGCAACTCTGTTGAGCCCTCTGACTGTGCTGGCCTCTTGCCTTGAGAGAGTTCCTGGCCATAGCACAGGGCAGTAGGAATGTATGTATGCATGCGTGCTGAGTTGCTTCAGTCGTGTCCGACTCTTTGTGATCCTATGGACTGCAGCCTGCCAGGCTTCTCTAAATTAAAAAAAAAAACGAAAGTTACAAATCAAATTCAGAAAGTTCTATCTAATAAGCCTACAAAGAGGTAAAGTGGAATTATAAAAATATACAATTAATCCAAAAGACAACCAAAAAAAATTTTTTTAAAGGAAAGAAGGAATAAAGAACAGAATAGAACGAATAGAAAACAAACAGCAAGATGATGGACTTAATCTTACACACATTAATAATTGCATTAAATGTAAAATGATCTTTTTGTTGTTGTACATATCACAGTTAAAGAGCACGTAAAGCAGATATAGATTCAATTAAAAATCAAGACAGTTATATGTGGGTCATAAAAATGCACTTTGAGTAGACAGAATAGGTTCAAATGAAAAGCATGCATGTAGACACACCATGGTAACACTGATCAAAAGAAAGCTAGAGTAGCTTCATTCATTTCAGACAAAGTAGATTTCAGAGGAGGGAGTATTACCAGGGACAACGAAAGTCAAGAGGACATAACAGTCTTAAATATTTATGTACCTAATTGTAGAACTTCACAAAACACGAAACAAAAACTGATAGAACTGCAAAGACAAATGAATAAGCAACTATATTTGACGACTTCAGTATCCCTCCCTTGATCACAGATAGAACAAGTAGACAGAAAATTAATAGGAGTGTGGAAGATTTTAAGAACACTATTGACAATTAGACCTAATTTGCACTTAATAGAACACTCTACCCAGTTTGACCCAATTTGCACTTAATAGAGCACACGACCCAGTAGATACATCTTCCCACATCCATATGGAGTATTTACCAAGTTAGATCATATTCCAAGCTAGAAAATAACTCTCAAGATATTTAAAGGATTCAAGTCATCTAAAGTATGATCTTTCTCAGCAGACAACATTACAGGAAAGTAAAACTTCAGATCAATAGCTCTCATGAATGTTGATGGAAAAATTCAAATAAAAATCATGTATTGAATCTGTGTATTAAAATGACAATACATCATGACCAAGTAGGGTTTATTCTGGGTTACAAGGTTAGAAATACAATTATAAAAAGGTCAATGAAAGTAATTCACCATATTAACATTAAAAAGGATTACCTGTATGATTATCTCTTAAATATGGGAAAGGTATTTGACAATTCACATTCATTCCTCATAAAACTCTCAGAAAACTAGGAATAGAAGTTCTTCAATTTGATAGAGGTTATTTTTGAAAAACATGTGGCTAGCATCATCCTTAATGGTAAAAGACTGAATGCTTTTCCACCAAGGTCAGAAACAAGAATGTCTGTTCTCACCACTTCTATTCATAATTATTCTGGAGGTTCAAGCTGGTGAAAAAAGACAAGAAAATACTTTAAGAAGCATATAGATTGGAAAGAAAGGATTAAAACTGTCTTCAATTTGCAGATAACATAGTTATCTAGCAGAGAAGGCAGTGGCAACCCACTCCAGTACTCTTGCCTGGAAAATACCATGGATGGAGGAGCCAGGTAGGCTGCAGTCCATAGGGTCGCAAAGAGTCGTACATGACTGAGCGACTTCACTTTCACTTTTCACTTTCATGCATTGGAGAAGGAAATGGCAACCCACTCCAGTGTTCTTGCCTGGAGAATCCCAGGGACAGGGGAGCCTGGTGGGCTGCCGTCTATGGGATCACACAGAGTCGGAAATGACTGAAGCGACTTAGCAGCAGCAGCAGCATAGTCATCTAGAATCTATAAAACAGCTACTAGAACTAATAAGTAATTTAATAAACTGCTAAATATATACAAAATGAATAGGCAAAGTTCAATTTTATCTATGCATAAGAGTAATGAACAATGAGAAATTTAAATAAATACTATTTACAATATAGTGTGCTCAGTCACATCTGACTCTTTGCAGCTCCATGGACTGTAACCCGCCAAGCTCCTCTGTCCATGGAATTTTCTAGGTAAGAATACTGGAGTGGGTTACTATTTCCTTCTCCAGGAGATCTTCCTGATCCAGGGATTGAACCTGTGTCTCTTGGGTCTCCTGCATCAGCAGGCAGATTCATTACCACTGCACTACCATTTACAGTAGAACAAATACACAAAATACGTAAATCTGACAAAAGATGTTCAAAACCTGTATACTAAAAACTGCAAAACATTTCTGAGAGAAATGAAATAAGACCTAAATAGGGGGAGAAATATCTCCCATACATAATTTTGAGGACTTGATATTTTCTTTTTTTTTTTTTCATTTATTTTTACTAGTTGGAGGCTAATTACTTTACAGTATTGTAGTGGTTTTTGTCATACATTGACATGAATCAGCCATGAATTTACATGTATTCCCCATCCCGATCCCCCCTCCCACCTCCCTCTCGACCCGATCCCTTTGGCTTTTCCCAGTGCACCAGGCCCGAGCACTTGGAGGACTTGGTATTTTCAAGATGTCAGTTGATCAATGAAATCTCAGCCAAAACTAATTTTTATTGTTGTTGTTGTTTTTCAGTCACTAAGTTGTGTTTGACTCTTTGTGACCCCATGGACTGTAGCATACCAGGCTTCCCTGTCCTTCACTATCTCCTGGAGTTTGTTCAAATTCATGTCCATTGAGTCAGTGATGCCACCCAACCATCTCATCCTCTGTTGTCCCCTTCTCCTCTTGCCCTCAAATCTTTCCCAGCCTCAGGGTCTTTTCCAATGAGTTGGCAGTTTGCATCAGGTGGCCAAAGTATTGGTGCTTCAGCATCAGTCCTTCTAGTGAATATTCAGTGTTGATTTCCTTTAAGATTGACTAGTTTGATCTCCTTGCAGTCCAAGGGACTCTCAAGAGTCTTCTTCAGCCCAATTCAAAAGCATCAGTTCTTCAGCACTCAGCCTTCTTTATGGTCCAGCTCTACATCCATACATGACTACTGGAAAAACCATAGCTTTGACTGTATGGATCTTTGTTGGCAAAGTGATATCTCTGCTTTCTAATATGCTATGTAGGTTTGACATAGCTTTCTTTCAAAGGAGCAGGCATCTTTTAATTTCATGATTGCAGTCTCTGCCCTCAGTGATTTTGGAGCCCGAGAGAAATGAAAACTAATTTCAAAATTCAGATAAAATTGAGAAGGACCTAGCACAGCCAAAGCAACTATGGAAAGGGAACAAGCTGTAGGACTAATGCTGCTGATTTCAAGATCTATTATAAGGTTCTTGCAACTGAGTTAATGTGGTAATGATGTCAAGGTTAATAATAGATGAATCAAACAGAATAGATAATCCAGAAGTAGACTCAGCATACAATCTACAACGATGAAGCAGATCATTGTTTTCCTATGGTTGGCAGAGTGGCCCCGGGTTGGGGGGAGAGACATGTAGAAACACATCACTTTTTATTATGACAGTATTTTTATGGACACCTATGTAGGCTTCTCCAGTGGCTCAGTGGAAGTGAGAAATAGATTTAAGAGACTAGATCTGATAGACAGAGTGCCTGATGAACTATGGATGGAGGTTCATGACATTGTACAGGAGATAGGAGTCAAGACCATCCCCAAGATAAAGAAATGCAAAAAAGCAAAATGGCTGCCTGAGGAGGCCTTACAAATAGCTGTGAAAAGAAAGGAAGCGAAAAGCAAAGGAGAAAAGGAAAGATATACCCATTTGAATGCAGAGTTCCAAAGAATAGCAAGGAGAGATAAGAAAGCCTTCCTTAGTGATCAATGCAAAGAAATAGAGGAAAACAATAGAATGGGAAATACTCGATCTCTTCAAGAAAATTAGAGATACCAAGGGAACATTTCATTCAAAGATGGGCTCAATAAAGGACAGAAATGGTAGGGACCTAACAGAAGCAGAAGATATTAAGAAGAGGTGGTAAGAATACAGAGAAGAACTGTACAAAAAAGATCTTCACGACCCAGATAATCGTGATGGCATGATCACTTACCTAGAGCCAGACATCCTGGAATGTAGTCATGTGGGCCTTAGGAAGCATCACTACGAACAAAGCTAACAGAGGTGATGGAATTCCAGTTGAGCTATTTCAAATCCTGAAAGATGATGCTGTGAAAGTGCTGCACTCAATATGCCAGCAAATTTGGAAAACTCAGCAGTGGTCACAGGACTGGAAAAGGTCAGTTTTCATTCCAATCCCAAAGAAAGGCAATGCCAAAGAATGCTCCAACTACCGCACAGTTGCACTCATCTCACACGCTAGTAAAGTAATGCTTAAAATTCTCCAAGCCAGGCTTCAGCAATACTTCATGGCAAAGAGATGGGGAAACAGTGACAGACTTTATTTTTGGGGGCTCCAAAATCGCTGCAGAGGATGACTGCAGCCATGAAATTAAAAGATACTTGTTCCTTGGGAAAAAAGCTATGGCAAACCTAGACAGCTTATTAAAAAGCAGACACATTACTTTGCCAATAAAGGTCCATCTAGTCAAAGCTATGGTTTTTCCAGTAGTCATGTATGGATGTGAGAGTTGGACCATAAAGAAGGCTGATTGCCAAAGAATTGATGCTTTTGAACTGTGGTGTTGGAGAAGACTCTTGAGAGTCCCTTGGACTGCAAGGAGATCCAACCAGTCCATCCTAAAGGAGATCAGTCCTGGGTATTCACTGGAAGGACTGATGTTGAAGCTGAAACTCCAATACTTTGGCCACCTGATGTGAAGAGCTGACTCATTTGAAAAGATCCTGATACTGGGAAAGATTGAGGGCAGGAGGAAAAGGGTACAATAGAGGATGAGATGGTTGGATGGCATCACCAACTCAATGGACATGGGTTTGGGTGGACTCCGGGATTTGGTGCTGGACAAAGAGGCCTGGCGTGCTGTGGTTTATGGGGTCGAAAAGAGTTGGACACGACTGAGTGACTGAACTGAACTGAGCTGAATGGCTCAGTGGGTAAAGAAGTCCGCCTGCAATGCAGGATACACAGGAAACATGGGTTCAACCCCTGCTTTGGGAAAATCCCCTGGAAGAGGAAATGGCAACCCATTCCAGTATTCTTGCCTGAAACATCCCATGGACCGAGGAGCCTGGCAGGCTACAGTCTATAGTGTTGCAAAGTCGGACACGACTGAAGTGACTGAGCATCCAGAGCAGTTAAAAACCCTAGTGCAGCTTTCAAATTACATAGAAAAATGAGAGTAAAGGAAGGATCAGTGTTAATAGCAGAGAGTTGGGAGGTAACTGAGCATCTCTCTACCCACGTGTCCTGACTGTATCCTCAGACAATCAGACGAGGCAGGTGGTGCTCCTAGCCGCTTTGTATGAAAGAGGAAACTCGCTCACTTTGTGAAAGTCACGCGGCTGGTAAGCAATGAGGCCAGAATTTGACCAGAACTCAAGCTCTGAACCACTGCAGGTATTGATTAATTCTCACGTCTTGCCTTTGTCATTTGTAGAGAAAAGGTGCAGAAGCCACAGTGGAGGAGGCTTTGTCACCAGTCATAAGTGAGAACACTAGTGAAGTGGAGGTAAGGCTTTCGAGGGCACTGGAGTGGTTGGTGCTCCCCTCCCCACCCCCATGCAGCTCACTCTTCTCCACCTGCACCCCTATGCCCTGTCCTCCCCAGGCCTCCTGCCTCCCTCTCCCAGTTCAGAGCTACCTCCTTCCTTAGGACCTGCTCCGCAGGTCACCCTTGATAACCATTATTCCACTGAGATTAGGCCTTTTATTCTGTCCCCCTCACACAGCTGGGTCCTAAAAGTTACACTTTCTACTTTGATAATTTGTAACCATTTCAGTAGATAGAATCTTTCTCCTCTCCCATTTTCTAGAGAGGAGGCTCCTGATTTTCTTTTTAAGTTTTTAGTGCTAATACTGATTTTAATTTTTATTATACTATTCACACAAGGGGCTTCCCTGGTGGCTCAGATGTTAAAAGAATCTCCCTGCCATGCAGGAGACCCAGGTTCGGTCCCTGGGTTGGGAAGATCCCCTGGAGAAGGGAATGGAGAATTCCTGAAGAATTCCATGGATCCTGGTGGACTACAGTCCATGGAGTCATGAAGAGTTGGACATGACTTAGTGACTGACACTTTCACTTTCAATGTTTCCTCAATGATGCAGTTAAAACATGGAGCCTGTATCAAAGGCCAGCCGAGACCATTCATTTTCTGACCTTCCCAGGAAAACTGGTTCCCATCCTTAAGAGTTTAGAGATCTCACTAAGAACATCTCCTTAAAGCCAGGCCTGGCTCAGGATGGTTTGTCTCAGGTGAGGCAATCACGTCCATCCCAGGAACAGTGTCATGTAGAGATGAGGCAACCACCAGTCCATTAAGTTGCAGAGAATGAATGGGTTTCCCAGTTGGGTTTGTCCTCTCTCCTTGTTGCAGGACTCAGAAAAACTCAGTCAAGTGAGCAGTATGGTTTACATGGGTTACTACACCAGCCATAGGAGCTCATTGTCCCTGTCTCTGCCCGAGGACACCAGCAGTTTCCGCCCCGTCTATAGGGGCGCCTCCACTGCCTTCTGCATCCAGCTGTTTTTCATCGACAAGAAGTACGAAGCAAGGCAAGTCTTGGTCCCCAACTTGTCTGCCGTGGGAAGAGCTTCTCCTGGTCTTGCTGGCCCCATACTTTCATCTCACAGAGTCAGGGGTTTCCAAGCCTGGCTTCCCATCCTCATTTCTGAAGAGTTTTTTTTTTTTTTTTTTTTAAACTACAGATTCCTAGGCCCCATTTTCAGACTCCAGCCCATAAAATTCCAGGCTGCCCAGGGTCTGTGAGATCATACCTTCCCAAGCCACATGCTGCTCCTCATTCTCTAGAGTTAGCATTCTGGGGAGACTTTGGGTTTAGATTGTCTAGAATCTTTTAGTTGCAAGTGACAGAAAATCCAACTGAAACTGGCTTTGGAAACATGAACAAAAACTGCCGCATAGAAGAAAGCATAATCCACTGGGAGGACTGATTTTCGGTGTGGCTTGACCTGGGATTTGGATAACCCAATCACAGACCAAGCTTCTCTCTACCCTTTGGCTCTGCTGGTCCCATCTTCAGAGGAGTGTCCCCACCTGGGGCCACAAGAAGTGGCCTCAGCATTGCACTAGAGCCAGTGAGGAGGACAGTGTGGTTTGGGCCCAGCTCTCGAAGTTCCACTGGGCCTGGTTGGACTGTGTGCTCTTTCCTAAGCTGATGGCTGGGGCCAGTACGTGAGGACAGCTCTGTCAGTTTCCTCATGCTCCCCACTGACTGGGGGCTGGAGTCTCAATCTGTGATGGGGTTAATGGGACACCAAACAACAACCCAGGCTGGCTGCTGGAAGGAGGAGGCCTGGTGCTGGGCAGACACTCCCGTGTCCACTGCTTGCTGCCCCCTGAAGTCTGGATGTGGGCCCCTGCCTTCCATACCTGAGAGTCCATATCCCGTTTGGGGTGCCCACCCACTCGACATTCTGTTCACAGAATAGTGTTGAAGAAGGAAGGATTGGCACATTTTCATAGACCGGAAGGTTTTGGAGTATCTTTGAGATGACCAAGAGTGCCACTAGCTACTCCCTTCTTAGAGGGTGTGTTTAATTGCATCCCATTCTCCCAGCCTTGCTTAGAACCATGCTTTAATTTGGACATTTTTTCCTCTAGAGTTTTCAATTTCCTTGAAATTGCAATTCAACTGAAAGATTAAAAAGGGAAACCTTTTTATTCTAACTATATTACAGACATCTAAAAAGCCTGTAAAAAACCCTTCTAGATCTGTTGCGTATATTTATTTCCCCTTGCTCATGATAAGATAAGAAATGTGCTTTTTGAATTTTCAAACAGAAATTCGATGACCCATTATGGTTCGCCTGCAAATAGGCATCTGCCGCTGGTCAGAAAATCTTTTGCATATAAAAGAGAAAAAGATCAGAGTAGCTTAGAATATGCCCACGTCTCCCCACAGCTCCTCCAGAAAGGAAGGGAGGGATCCTGTTCACAAAAGGACTGTCTTGCTTTTTGAATGTGTAGAGACTATTAATTGCCATAATAGTATCTTGAATATAGGCAAATGCTTTATTACTGACATTTGAAGCTTCTGACTTCTGCAGTTGATTACTGTTCAGCTCGACACACATTCTGAATAGTGATTGGCTAATCCTTGCCTGAGGGGGTGAGAGCCATACATCTCTTGGAAGGTACACGGGTGCTGCATTTGCTTGGAGGTCAGTGACAGTTCTTATTGTCTGTTTACAGGTCACTGGACTTTATGAATTTTGTTTTCCATCTTTTCCATGTAAGTACATGTTGAATTTTGAGTAATATAGTTGGTTTTATAAGCTAGAAAAGTTACAGAGAAGTAAGAAACCATACTCATTATCCAAACATATCTGATATGAATATTGAGGTGGGACCACTTCTCTGTTCTGAAAAAAAAAAGTTGAATAATACATCATGGACTCTTCAAAGCAGGAAATATTGTCATTCTCAATCATTTTTCAGTCATGCTGTTTTAGTATTCTTTCAATGCATAACTTCTTTTAGAGAGTATTTCACTGGTGTTTTATTATCAATAGAATCAAATCATGGGCAGAATGCTGGGAGCATCTGAAAATGTCAGGAGTTACAGTGAAGTTAGTCTTTTGTATTTCTTTATAGTTTGTGTTGGCTCAGAGAATTCTGACACCAGTATACTGCGTTTCTGAGGGTAAGAAGGTGGAAACTTGATGTTGATCTTCTGGTTGGCATCGCCTGACACGTGGGAGCCGCTTGACCCTCTACTGTTGGTTGGTGGATGGCCCCAAGCAGACACCCAAGTGCAAACAAGATTCTCTGTCTGAGGGTGTCTGGGCTTCCGCTTCCATTTTAGTTTCACCATTGTGAAGGGGTAGAAATTCTGACCAACCTCTTGTTGGAGGGAAGAAAGTAGGGAAGGAAGACAATTTAGGTTCCTCCATTGAATTTTTATGGCTTTTTTTCATGGCTTGCCTGTCAGTTAAGTCAGGTCAACAACCACACTTCTTCAGTCAGCTAATATAGGCAAGATGTCTATTGTTTTATTTTTCCTTGATTCTCTTTTTACTGAGGCTATAAAACCAAAGAGGCTTTAATTCTGTTGCATAAGAGCTATGTGATCATAGATTGTATCTCCTCATTTTGTTAAGATCATGAAGTCTTGGCACTGATGTTCTCCATCATAATTTTTTTGAATTAATTTTAAGGCATTTTGAAACTCGGAAACCACTGTAGTGACCCTGAGGGAGGATTTACAAAGCTGGCTTCCCTCAGAGATGCCCCAAAGTAACTTCACTAAGTTCACTTCATTGCTATTTTAAAGTCCATGCAAAGACAGGTCTTCAGTATTGTGACAAAAGCAATGCTGGCTTTAAAACCATAAAAGACATGTTTACTTTTTATTTATTTATTTTTTGGCTGCTCCAGGTGCATGTGGGATCTTAGTTCCCTCGCCAGGGATCAAACCCACACCCACTACAGTGGACCCCTGTGGGATCTTGACCACTGGGACAGCCAGGGAAGTCCAACATGTTTACTTTTTAATTATTTCAGGATACAGGAGACAGGAGCAAAATATCATCGTTACTTCATCCTTAATCCTTCCCATCCATGATGAAGCAACTCATTAGTGTCTCCTCATCCCAGAGGAAGACATGGCATTCAGTTCTTTTCAGCTCGAGTATTTCGACAACTTGACTCACAAGTTCCCTTGTGAGTCTTCCCTTCTTGACTCAAGAAGGAGCTGTTATTTTGCTAGAAAGAAGGAGGATAAGGTCAGAGAGTGACTCACTCCTTTGAGTTGCACGCGGGTCCCCAGGGTCTTGGATTAGCTCAGGCAATGCCTTCACAGGGTTCAGCAGGAGGCGAGATCCCACAGGGACAAATTAGCTCTGGGAAGAGCAAGCTGCTCTGCAGGCGCCTGGTGGAGGGTCTCGGGGGACATGCGGAGCAGAGACGGTCCACAGCAGCACTGTCCCATAGACACCAAGTTCCAAATGTTCCAGCAGATTCATTATTGTTTTTTTTCCTTTTTTTAAATTTAAATTTATTTATTTTTAATTGGAGGCTAATTGCTTTACTGTATTGTGTTGGTTTCTGCCATACATCCACATGAATCAGCAATGGCTGTATGTATGAACCTCCCTCCCCCCTTTTAGAATTCCTAAAATTTATACTTGTCATCAGAACTCCTTGATCTGCTTTTAGGTTTCCTAAGATTTATAGTTGAATGAATAGATTCATATACCCAGTTGTTCTAAACAGACATGCAACTTTTCCAATAATTGAGTTTTTATTTTATTATTTTTTTCTTTACCATTATGCTTTATTGAAGGATATGGAATGTAGTTCCCTGTAGGGACCTTGTTGCTTATCTATTTGATATGTAATAGTTTGTGTCTACTGACCCCAAACTCCTACTCCATACATCCCCCACTCCCCCTCCCCTTTGCAACCATAAGCTTGTTTTCTATGTCTGTGAGTCTGTTTCTTCTTATAAATAAGTTCATTTGTATCATTTTTTTAGATTCCACATGTATGTGATTATATGGTATTTGCCTTTCTCTGTCTTACTTCACTTAGAATGATAATATCTAGGTTCAACCATGTAACTGCAAATGGCATTATTTCATTCTTTTTTATGGCTGAGTAATATTCCATCGTGTGTGTGTGTGTGTGTGTGTGTGTGTGAGTGTGTGTATAAATATATGCACACATCTTTTCCATTCATCTGTCGATGGACATCTAGGTTGCTTCCATGTCCTGGCTATTGTGAATAGTGCTGTTGTGAACACTGGGGTGCATGTACCTTTCTGAGGTGTAGTTTTCTCCAGGAGTGGGATTGCTGGGTCTACAGTAGTTCTATTTTTAACTTTTTGAAGAACCTTCATCCTGCTCTCCATAGTGGCTGCCTCAGTGTACATTCCCACCAACAGTGTAGGAGGGTTCCCAAGTATTGGTTTTGAAACTTAAGTTTAGATTAATCAAAATGAAATAAAAGTAACAATTAGGTTCCCCCATCACACTAGCCAGCTTCCAAATGCTCGGTGGCCAGAAGTAGCTCCTGGCCAGCACATTGGATAGTGCAGACACAGGTCAGGACATGCAGATCTCACTGCCCAGGTTAACCTGCCCTTAGATTTCATCACCCAAGTAAGATCACATCCTGATATAATACACTAGACATCCATTCCTGTGTAATCACAGGACTTTTGAGCTGAAAAGGTCTGAAGCACCACCCTCTCACCTCACAGAGGTGGGGACCATGACTGGCACAGCATCACTTGGTAAACCCAAGCCTTTGCCATGACAGTGGACTGCTTTATTCACTCCTGGATACAAGTGAATTTGCAAATACAAGTTTAAAACGCTACTTCGAAAAAAACAGCTGTACCAAATGGCTTCCGTTGTTCACAATATTCTTTTATTTAGGTTTCAGTCAAACGCCAGAAATTTTCTCCATATTCTTACAGTTGTTTATCTCCCTGAATTTTCTGATTATTTTCCAAATGATAGGAATGTTGAACTTGAATACCATCTCCTTCACACATTTTACTCCTCTTTTCTTTAGTATTTTACAGCAGGAATTTGTTTAGTGATTAATGATTTCTGATTTCCAATCACATCAGGACAAGGACTTCTGCATCATTTCTGTGCCGCATCTCACCCCTGAGTTTGTCCTCATCCAGAGCTTCGTGAAGGTGGTTCCCTTCAACAACTGCACCCTAGACCAGGACCTGTACGTCTTCCATCGGGCGGGGTTGCTCAAGTAAGCAGATGCTCGGTGGGGCAAAAGACAGTCTATGAAGTTACAAAAGGAGAATGAAGCAGGAACTCCCTGCCATTTTCATTTAATAACTTATCTTTAAAACTGTTGTCTTGATGGAGGGCTTCATCAAGTGATTTTTACCAATCTAGGGAAAGAGTCATAGTGACAAATTACTAGTCCAGTCAGATACTAAAGCATAATCCAACTCCAAGATAATCAAAACAATGTCATTTGACCATTTCTATGGGTAGGGCAAGGTAACACAAGAAAGAGTTCCACCACAGACCCCAAGAGAGTAAAAATTGAATGTGTGTGTGTTTAAAGACATATAGATGAATGTATATGATGGCATTTGTGTCCCAGTGGTGGGAAAAGAAAGAATGATTCTGTAAGTGATGGGGTAAAACAAGAACAGAAATATTCTTCATGTTCTCCAGTAAAATTAATTCCCACATGCTTGAAGAGTTCAGTGTAAATATTGCAATAGGTCCAAATTAGAAACTGTGTCTACAGTGCTAGGTTCTGGGCCAAATCTGAGAATACAGCAATGAGCAACCTACTGATGTGTCCCCTGTCCTCTCAAAGCTCATAAACACTCAAGTAAAAGTAACCCTGCAGCTGTGACGGGGGTACCAGCCGTGGGTCTGTGGGACCACGGAGATGTGTCACTGGAAGAATCAAGCCCGTCAGAGGAAGCCCATGAGCAGTGTGAGTGCAGACTGATCCTTACCATGTCTCAGGATGGGGAAGGTCTTTTTAGAACATGCAAGAAAAAAAACCAAGATTTGTTTTTAATCTTATATACATAAGAGACATTCTAGAAAAGTCCACAGGACTTTATTAACCTTATGCGCCTTTGGGAAGCAAGACAGGGATCTTGGGGGTGTACATGGCAATGTATTCTTTGCTTTATATCTGTGGGCTCTGTTTGATTTTTTTCATTAATAAATTTTATTTTCTAGAGCAGTTTTAGGCTCACAGCACCGTTTGTACCATTGATGAACCTATAGGGACTCACCATCATCAACCAAAGTCCACAGTTTACATGAAGGCTTGCTCATCAGTTGCACCTTCTATCAATTCAATTCAGTTCAGTCACTCTGTTGTGTCTAACTCTTTGTGACCTCATGGACAGCAGCATGCCAGGCTTCTCTATCCATCACCAACTCCCGGAGCTTGCTCAAACTCATGTCCATCGAGTCGGTAATGCCATCCAACCATCTCATCCTCTGTCGTTCCCTTCTTCTCCTGCCTTCAATCTTTCCTGACAGAGTATTTTCCAAGTCCTTCGCATTAGGTGGCCAGATTATTGGAGCTTCAGCTTTAGTATCCGCTTTAGCATCAGCCCTTCCAATGAATATTCAGGACTGATATCCTTTAGGTTGGACTGGTTGGATCTCCGTGCAGTCCAAGGGGCTCTCAAGAGTCTCCTCCAACACCACAGTTCAAAAGCATCAGTTCTTTGGCACTCAGCTTTCTTTATGGTCCAACTCTCATATCCATACATAATTATTGGAAAAACCATAGCTTTGACTAGACAGACCTTTGTTGGCAAAGTAATGTCTCTGCTTTTTAATATGATGTCTAGGTTGGTCATAACTTTATTCCAAGGAGCGAGCATCTTTTAATTTCATGGCTGCAGTCACCATCTGCAGTGATTTTGGAGCCCAGGAGAATAAAGTCTCACTGTTTCCATTGTTTCCCCATCTATTTGCCATGAAGTGATGGGACCAGATGCCATGACCTTCATTTTCTGAATGTTGAGTTTTAAGCCAGCTTTTCAGTCTCCTCTTTCACTTTCATCAAGAGGCTCTTCAGTTCCTCTTTAATTTCTGCCATAAGGGTGGTATCATCTGTATATCTAAGGTTATTGATATTTTTCCTGGCAATCTTGATTCTAGCTTGTGCTTCATCCAGCCCAGCATTTCACATGATGTACTTTGCACATAAGTTAAATAAGCAGGGTCACAATATACAGCCTTGACATACTCCTTTCCCAATTTGGAATCAATCCGTTGTTCCATGTCCGGTTCTAACTGTTGCTTCTTGACCTTCATACAGATTTCTCAGGAGACAGGTACGGTGGTCTGGTATTCTTCATCTTTTTAGTAATTTTTCAGTTTATTGTGATCCACACAGCGAAAGGCTTTGGCATAGTCAATGAAGCAGAAGTAGATATTTTTCTGAAATTCTCTTGCTTTTTCTTTGATCCAGTGGATGTTGGAAATTTGATCTCTGGTTCCTCTGCCTTTTCTAAATCCAGCTTGAACATCTGGAAGTTCACAGTTCACATACTGTTGAAGCCTGGCTTGAAGAATTTTGAGCATTACATTGCTAAGCATGTGAGATGAGTGCAATTGTGCAGTAGTTTGAACATTCTTTGGGATTGGAATGAAAACTGACCTTTTCCAGTCCCGTGGCCACTGCTGATGGGTCAGGTCAAATGTGTAATGACATGTCCTCCATTATAATTTCATATATAGTAGTTTCTTAAACTCCCGTGTACTCCACCTGTTCATCTCTCTCTCCTTCCCCACCATCTCTGTCAGCCACTGGCCTTATCACCATTTCCATAGTTTTGTTCCCTGTAGCTCAAATGGTAAAGAATCTGCCTGAAATGCAGGAGACCAGGGTTTGATCCCTGGGTTGGGAAGATCCTCTGGAGAAGGGAACGGCAATCCACTCCAGTATTCTTGCCTGGAGAATTTCATGGACAGTGAAGCCTGGTGGGCTACAGTTCGTGGGGTCACAAAGAGTTGGACAAAACTGAGCAACTAACACACACAGAGAATGTCATAGCTGGAATCATACAGTGTCTGGCCTTTATAGATTAGCCTCTTTCATTTAGTAATTAGTATCTTCAAGTTCCTCCATGTCTTTTCATGGCTTGATAGCTCAATTCATTTTAGCCCTGAATGGTATTCTTTTGCCTGGGTGGACCACAGTTTATCCTCTCACCTACTGAAAGACTGCTTGGTTGCCTCCAAGTTTTGGCAACTATGAATAAGGCAGACTACAAAGGCAACTACAAACATTTGTGTGCAGGTTTTTGTGTGGACATAAATTTTTGACTCATTTGGGTATATACCAAGGAGCACAACCATAGATTGTATGGTAAGAATATTGAGTTTTGTAAGGAACGACCCCCTTGTCTTCCAAAGTCCTCCACCATTTTGCATTCCTACCTGCAATGAATGCTTCTTCACATCCTCACTGGCATTTGTCAGTGTTCTGAATTTTTGCCATTCTAATGGCTGTATTGTTGTATCTTGGTTTAATTTGCATTTCCATACTGATTTATTATGTTGAGCATCTTTTCATTTGCTGTCTGCAATCTGTGTATCAACTTTGGTGAGACGTCTGTTCATATCTTCTGCCCTTTTTAAGAGTGGGTTGTTTATTTCTGTGTGAATTTTTTAAATTATAGGCATGCACTATGTCCATAATAGAAAATGAAGTTAGTTTTGTGTCACTGAGATTTTAAATTTTATTATGACTTAAGTAAAACTTTCATTAGAATGTTCTTTACGCTCTCTGCATTCTTGCACAGAGCATATTGGTGGCATTTTCTCATGACTTCCGATGCTACTCATGAATAAACACACTGATGACAGCAGCCAGATGACATACGGTCAGGATTGGGCCTTGGGTCTGCCTGTGGGCGTGACCTTGCTCTTACTTGCTTAATTATTTAATTCATAGTCATGTTCCTTTCTTATACACTTCCTTTCCTTACTATGAACACATATTTCTTTTATTAAAAATTAAGTATAATTTTTTAAAGCAATGAGACTTTCAACATGCATCTGGAAATTAATCCTGGTGGCAGCAGGGCCCTAGTTTTTCTTTGTAACCATTTGCAATGTCAGCTTCATGTTTGCTTTGTTCTAATCACTTACATATAAAGGTGCAGATTATGTGTACCTGGGTTCTTTTCTGAAAAAGTTAAAGGCTCTCAAGCGGAAATAGTTTCCGTGTCCTTAGAAAATCATGATCTTTGTCATTGAGCCCTCTTTGGGAACTTTCCTTTGTTGCTCTGAGTTTCATTGACACCCCACCCACCACTGCTCACCCAGGTCTCAGTGTGTTAGTCTTGTGGCTCCTTTGCACTTTTACTCTTGTTGCTGACTCCTTGCTGCTTGGAATCTGTGCTTGCGTGTAGGAGGGGATGTCCCTCAAAACCCATGTGTGTGTCACCAACAGGGGATGTCTCTTGTGGCCGTGGCAGCAGGTCATTGTTCTCTAGAGCAAACCTACATCTTTAATTCTTTAAATTCTACCTGCATTCCAGGTAGAGGAGGAAGATAGAAAGGAAGGGGAGAGGGAAGATACAGACTGGGCAGTGATGAGGGTGAACGTGAAGAGGCATGAGACGTGTGGGGGCGGAGGGCAGGAGGCAGTGGAACAGCCTTGTGGCCCTCCACTGCCCTCCACTGCCCCACTTTTTGAGCCGTGGCTTTAAACACCTCTGTGTTCTTCCATTTTTTGCTTCACTTCTCTTGACATCTGGGATGGATTGTTCTTGCCCTTAAGTTTGGTTACTCTAAATTTCATGACCTTCTGTCCTCGGCTCCCACCGGATCGCCTTCCTCTTCCCTTGGGAAATTATATTTATGTCTGTCACCTGCTCTCTGGCCAGGCTGCTGAGCACAGGGACAAATCGCTCGGTTGTTAGCGGTGTCACCTCTCTGTCAACAGATTCCACGAGGGGGCCCCTCTCGTTTCATTTGTGGCTACTGGTCTTTGAGAGGACATTTCCCAGCATTTATGTTAGCTTTCATTTGGAATGTGCATAAACTGAACGCTTTTTAACACTCTTCTTCACCGAGTGATCTCAGCGGTGCCTGCTTATATAATCTGGGGCGGGGGGTGTGGTATGAGGACCCCTTTTCCTTTCCTCCACTTGCCTGTCCTTCACTGTTGTGTGTGTGAAAGTCACTTAGTCATGTCTGACTCTTTGCGACCCCATGGACTGTAGCGCACCAGGCTCCTCTGTCCATGGAATTCTCCAGGCCAGAATACTGGAGTGGGTACCGTTCCCTTCTCCAGGGGATCTTCCAGACCCAGGGATCGAACCCAGGTCTCCCACATTACAGGTGGATTTTTTACCATCTGAGCCACCATTGCATGGGCTTTTCTTCTTTATTCATGACCAGAGGACACACATTTGGATGAACCAACTGCTCATTCCATCTTCCTGCCCTTCCAAAGCATGTTTTTCTGAAATTTGCCATTTTTCTTTTAATTTGGGAGACTAGGTTTCAAACTTACTCATCCAACTGAGATAAATATATATATATATATAAATAAATTTATATATATATATATATTTGGTGCCAGAAATGATTTTCTGTGAATAAACATTGACCTCTAAGTTGAATCATACTACTTATTGTCAACTTTGCTCAGCAAATAAAAATGCCCATAGGAGTTGGCTTTTAAATGGTTTCTTCCCTCAGTGTTTTTGCTTTATATGCTTTTCCATGGGTGACTCACTCATGCCTGGTGGTCATCTTTTTCTAGCACATCACCATTCTACCTGTTTCAGGCCCACGTTGTCACTAAGAGTGGTTTAGGGCTATCAGTCTTTCTGGTGCTTTTAACCAGCTTCCTTGAATAGAAGCCAAGAGAAACTTTATTTTGTGGTTATCATTTTGTTTTGGTTTAAACTGAAATGCTGATAGCTGTCGAATTATTTTATGTTTCTATTACATAGATCACTCCTTTGAAATGCAGAAAGATTCAAATTACTTTTTCTTCTGGCATCTAATTCACTGGCGTCGAAAAACCACCCTATATTCTGCAAGACTTAGTGACGACATACACATTGACTTCTACGTGTCTAAAACCATTCATTCATTGAAATTGAAGTTGAAAAATTAACTGTTAAATCTTTTTCCTTCTACTTTTATGTATGATTTTCTATTTTGTTATGCAAGTGACGACATACACATTGACTTCTACGTGTCTAAAACCATTCATTCATTGAACTTGAAGTTCAAAAATTAACTGTTAAATCTTTTTCCTTCTACTTTTATGTATGATTTTCTATTTTGTTATGCATGCAGTCTGATTAAATGCTATAAAATCTGACCTTTGAGGCCAGAATCTACCAAAAGCAGGAGAACAAAATCTCTTGTGAAACAAAACTTTCCAGATCCAAGAAGGGACCAGTGGGCGAGGATGACATCATTTCTTCATGGAGAGGTGACATTTCCTGAACATTCAAGTTCAGCAGAGGAGGGACGTGTGAGGGCAGAGTGACTTGGGGAGGTGAAGGGCCACAGGGAAGGGTTAGGAAACCAGGGGGCCCCATGTAGGACCCTCTTGGGAGAACTTGCTTCTTCTGTGGATGGAGGAAGCCCCATGGATGGGTGGACAACCATAGCTAAGCTCCTCTCTGATTCAAAGCAGCTCTAGAACCATGGGTGAGCCCTTGAGGAGAAAATGCCTAAACCGTCTTGGTGTAAGCACATGTTCACTTCTGGGGAGGTTGTGCAAGGTAACCTGCAGAACAGGTGGTGGGCTGGGGGCATGGTCTCCTTCCCGGTTCTGTGCCTGGTTGTGGGACAGAGGAAGAGACCCAGCACAGATCTGATAATGAAAGAATGATGATCCGAAACTCCTCATTCCAAACTTGTGGAGAGATACAAGTAGGAACATCTGAACTAGATTTTGGCACAAGGTGGCCATGTCAGAACCATGTTCTTACCTTTCACTTAAAAATTGCTCATGCTGTTTCTATTATTCAGTTCAGTTCAGTTCATGTCTGACTCTGCAACCTCATGAACTGCAGCATACCAGGCTTCTCTGTCCATCACCAACTCTTGGAGCTTACTCAGACTCATGTCCATTGAATCGGTGATGCCATCCAACCATCTCATCCTCTGTCATTCCCTTCTCCCCCCACCTTCAATCTTTCCCAGCATCAGGGTCTTTTCAAATGAGTCAGTTCTTCGAATCAGGTGGCCAAAGTATTGGAGTTTCAACTTCAGCATCAGTCCTTCCAATGAATATTCAGGACTGATTTCCTTCAGGATGGACTGGTTGGATCTCTTTGCAGTACAAGGGACTCTCAAGAGTCTTCTCCAGCACCACAGTTCAAAAGCATCAATTCTTTGGTGCTCAGCTTTCTTTATAGTCCAACTCTCACATCCATACTTAACTACTGCAAAAACCATAGCTTTGGCTAGACAGATTTTGGTGGCAAAGTAATGGCTCAGCTTTCTAATATGCTGTCTAGGTTGGTCATAACTTTTCTTCCAAGGAGCAGGTGTCTTTTAATTTTATGGCTGCAGTCACCATCTGCAGTGATTTTGGAGCCCAAGAAAATAAAGTTTGTCACTGTTTCCATTGTTTTCCCATCTATTTGCCATGAAGTGATGGGACCGGATGCCATGATTTTAGTTTTCTGAATGTTGAGTTTTAAGCCAACTTTTTTACTCTCCTATTTCACTTTCATCAAGAGGCTCTTTAGTTCTTCAGTTTCTGCCATAAGGGCAGTGTCATCTGCATATCTGAGGTTATTGTTATTTCTCCTGGCAATCTTGATTCCAGCTTGTGCTTTATCCAGCCCCACATTTCTCATGATGTGCTCTGCATATAAGTTAAATAAGCAGGGTGATGATATACAGTCCTGACGTACTCTTTTCCCAGTTTTATTATTATTCTATTGTTCAGGTGATAGCAATTGATTGGGGCTTCCCTGGTGGCTCAGTGGTAAAGAATCTGCCTGTCAGTGCAGGAGATGCAGGGGACATGGGTTTGATCCCTGGGTCAGGAAGATCCCCTGGAGAAAGAAATGGCAACCCACTCCACTGTTCTTGCCTGGAAAACTCCATGGACAGAAGAGGCTAGTGGGCTACAGTCCCCGGGGTCACAAAGAGTTGGACACAACTTAGAGACAAAGGAATTGGTCATTTTTTATCAGTTAACTATAGATGTAGATTGTTCTTTACAAATGTGCTGCTTTGCCCATAGAATGGAAGCGAACATTAAAACATAAGCACAAATATTCACTACAGTTGGAAGCAAAGTAGGTTAGAGTATTTTACTTTATTAGTTGTAGGAGGAGTAGCCTTGTCCTATTTGATAATAACGCTAATAACCCCCTAGTGACTGGAGAGCATGTCTTGTATGAACCCTACATTGTATGCAGGGCCCAGCCTCCAGCCTAAGGTGGAGACATCACCTCCCCTTCACGTGGGTCCACGGCTCCATCCCATAGCAAACAGGCACTCAGATGCCCTGCATACCTAGGTATGGGGTGGGCTGGAGCTCTACACTGAGTGGCCAGCCTGCCACTGGGTGCGGACAGCCACCACCTTGCTCTGATTAGAGACTCCAGGGGCACAGATTGATGCCGATCCTCCCCAGGCCCATGTCCAGGACCCCAGCGAGGAGGGGGCAGGATCGCTCAAAGTGGGGCTTCCCCACTGATGCACCCAGTTGTCACCCTGGCAGAGGATGGAAGCCATCACAGGGCAGAGATGGGGGAGAAACCATCGTGGGAGCTGGCGAGGTGGGTACCACGTGCCAGCCAAGGCATCAAGCCCCGAACATGCTCCATTGTCCTCCTAGACTTCATGTAAAAACACGAAATCAAAGATAAAATTATTAAGAAATTTAAGACTTATGAAGCCAGCCTGGGTTCAGTGTAAGTTCTTAACTTCTTAACATACTTTATAAATTTGACAAAGAATTTGGCTTTATGTATGAAGCAAATGTGACTTAAAGCATGGTGCTGAACATTTTAAATGAAATAAATTTAAAATTTGACTTTGTGTTGTTTGGTTAATGGTTACAGTCAGTGTTGTTGTTTTCTTTTTCTTTTAACCTTATTCTTTGCACTTTTTAAATGAATGTTTTCTAGAATGAAGAGTTACTTTTTAATTAAATCCCAATGTTATATAAAAATATTTTACTGGATATTATTTTATGTAAGTGTGATCTGTTACAATCTTGTCTCCATTTGGGGGACAGGGAGAATATGTATTTTAGTACTGTAAGCTGAAAAAGAAAATGTGTCTCTTCTTACCCAGGACCATTAAAATAAGATTAGCTACTCTCTCGGACACTCCTGGTGTTGAAAAGCTCGTCAGCACCCTCATGCCGTCTAAAAGCATATTGGAGGATTTGAAGCAGTACAGCGAGGCTCGCAGGGACCCTGTAAGTACCTGCTACTTCCAGATTGGCTTCCTTTCCCTTGCTTTGGTACCGTTATGAGCCGTGTAGGTTCCATCCCGAAGTTTTCTCGGGCCTTGTTAGAGAATTGGGTGGTGGGGAGCAACAGAGGTGGGGTTAGGAGAGGGGAGGGAGAAAAAAAGAACAAGGAAACTGAGGTTTAAAGAAGTTTGGGGCTGTTTTTCTCACTAGTGGCCCCATGGGGGCTGACCAGATATGCCCTAAATCCTTATCTCAAGCATAGAAAATTTGAACTTGATCTAGGCAACATGTAAGAAAATGAGACCCCAGTGCTTGGAATAGGCACATCTGAGTCCGGTTAGAGGATCCCTGGGTCCCTGGTGCCCATCCCAGCAGCACCCATTTCACCCTCTGGATGATGGGTTGGTCCATACCCTTTTGTTGAGCTGGCTGCATCCTCAAGGATCAGATTGGCTGGGAAGATCCTGTGTGACAAATTTGGTGCTCTCTTTATACTACAGTAAGTACATTATACATTTGGCATAACAAAGGACAAGCCAGCAGTCGTTCTTACGTCATCGCTGCCTTCTTAAGAACCACGCCAGTTACCTTCCTCCAGATGTGGAAGAAAGCATGTGGTTAGGAAAAGGCTTCATTACTGTTTTGATGAATTTTATTTAAAACAAATTTCACTGAAGCATAACCAATAAAAAAAAGTTTGATGGATTTCACAATTTGAACACGCCAATTTGAATAAGCAGGAAACAGACTAACTCCAGCCCACCAGAAGTCCCTTTCAAGTTCTTGTTTAGTGACTCCCCCTTCCCCCCAGGTTAGTACTACCTTCACTTCTTAAATACCTGGCTTTTGAGCTTTATTTAAAGGGATCGGACAATATGTTTTCTGACACCAAGCATCTTTTGCTCAGCCACGACTGTGAGGTTCATCCACAGTGTGGTGTACAAAGTACTTCATTGCTTGGACATACCCCAGTTTATTCATTCCACCTCTCAGGTCATTTGGCGAATTCCCAGTTATGGGCTCTTTTGAATAAACCATTCAGTCAATCTAAAACTCATCAAGAGGGAGGCAACAAACACAAACATGGTGAGAGTTTTAATAAATATAAAGGCTTTGAATTAAAACTTCCCTTCAGCACATGTTTTTCTGTTTTGGTTTGTCTTGTTCTCTTTTGGTTTTGGTTTATATATTTTTTTTTGTTCCTTCCCTCTTGGCTGGCTGACACAGTATGACGTAGTGGTCCAGTTCTTAAAGCGGTTCCAAGGAACTCTAGGGGTCCACAAGACATTCAAGGAGTCTGTGAGGTTAAAACTCTCCTCCTAAGAAGAGTAAGAAATTATTTTCCTTTTCTGCCGAATTGATATTCGCTCTGATGATGCAAAAGCAGTGGTGGGAAAAACCTCAGGGACCTCGATGTGGCTCGGGGGTGGGGCAGCAAACTTGCCGGTGGTCACCGAGATTGCTCTCACAGCAGCGACAGGAACAGAAAGCCCATGATGGGAGGTCACTGTGCACCAGCAGAAAGGCTAAATCTAAGAAGAGGGACACCGCTCGGTGCTGGCAAGGATGCTGGGAAGTTGGGTCACTCCTCTGTTGCTGGTGGGGATGCTATTGAATAGTGCTCAGCTGTAGCAAACGATGTACTGTGTTTTTGTTCATTTAAGTATAGTTGAGTTATAATGTTATATTGGTTTCAGGTGTACCACAGAGTGATTCAGGTAAATATATGTATATCTATACAGTAAGTCCTTGTTATTTATCTGTTTTATATATAGTAATGTGTATCAGTTGAGCTTCCCCAGTGGATTGGTGGTAAAGAATTCTCCTGCAGTGCAGGAGCCGAAGCAGATGTGGGTTCATTCCCTAGGTCACGAAGATCCCCTGGAGGAGGAAATGGCAACCCACTCCGGTATGCCTGCCTGAAAAAAATCCCACAGACGGTGGAGCCTGGTGGGCTACAGTCCTTAGGATTGCAAAGAATCGGACATGACTGAGTGACTGAGCCAGCCAGTCAGTATATCAGTTAATTTCAAGCTCCTAACTTATGTCTCCCATCACCCCTTTCTCCTTTGGTAACTGTGGTGGTTTTCCATGTGTGAGTCTGTTTCTGTTTTGTAAATAAGCTCATTTGTATCATTTTTTGTTAGATTCCACAAATAAGTGATATTATATGAGATTTTTTTTTCTGTCTGATTTATTTCACTTAATAAGATCATCTCTGGTGGTTCATCCATGTTTCTGCAAATGGCAAATTTCATTCTTCTTTACAGATGAGTAACATTCCATTGTATATAAGTATCACATCTTATTTCTCCGTTCCTCTGTTGATGGACATTTATGTTGCTTCCATGTCATGGCTATTGTCAATAATGCTGCAATGAACATTGGGGTGCATGTCTCTCTTCAAATCAGGGTTTTCATCTTTAACAGATATATACTCAGAAGTGGAATTGCTGGATGATACGGTTATTCTATTTTTAGTTTTTTAAGGACCTCTGTACTGTTGAGGGATGCACTGTTGATTCATGCATCAACTTGGGTGAATTTCCAGTGTATGTGTGTGTGTGTGTGTGTGTGTGTGTGATCGGTTGCTCAGTCATGTGCAACTCTTTGCGGCCCCATGGACTGTCACCCACCAGGCTCCTCTGCCCATGGAGTTTTCCAGGCAAGAATATTGGAGTAGGGTGCCATTTCCTATTCCAGGGGAACCTCCCAACCCAGGGATCCAACCCACGTCTCTTCCATCTCCTGCATTGGCAAGCGAATTCTTTACCACTAGAAAATGTTTAGAGAATTATGCTAAATGGAAAAATAAGCCAATCCCTAGAGGTTATATACTATATGATTTTGCTTGTATGACATTTTGTAAATGATAACACTTTAGAGCTGGAGAACAGATCACTTGTTGCCAGGGTTAAGGATGGGAGCGGGACAGAGGGCAGACAGGTGTGGTACAATAGGCAAGCCAAGAGATCCTTGTGTTGGACTGTCTAGTATCTTGACTGCAATGGTGGGCACATGAACCCACTCAGAGGCCAAAACTACATAGATCTGAACACACACACACACACACACAATCACATCAGTGTGCTTTCCCTGCCTGTCATATCATGCTAGTGTTCTGCAGAAGGTTGCCATTATAGGATCCTGGGCAAAATGTACAAGGATCTCTCTGTATTGTTTTTTATAACTGCTGGTGAATCTGCAGCTATCTCCATAGACATTTTAATTAAAATTCAGAAAAAAAAAAAGATGCGAGCCAGTTTTCCTTGAAGCTGTAAACATTATTAACTTACTAAGCCTCAGTCCTTGAGTATATGTATTTGCCATATTCTGTGTAGCAAAATGAGATTTGCCCATACCGCTCTTGGGCCACAGACTGAAGCACGGTGGTGGTTTGAAGAAAAACATTTCTAAGGTTGTTTGAATTGCAGCACTGCTGTCACAGAGCAGCTGGCAGACAAAATATGGTTATTTAGTCATGGGGAGCTGGCAGACTTTTTCTTCAAAGTGAACGAGGTGAGAGGGTCACTCCACGAAGACAACTGACAGCATGTATCCTCTATGATGAAGTCCAAGCTTTCAAGAAAAACTTCGACTTTTAGAAAATCAGTATCTGCCATCATAAGCTTGACAGCTCCCCAAAAACTTAAAAACAGGTTTTCTGATGAAGCTGATGGTGATACTACCAAATGCAGTGTTTTGATATTTTGTGATTAAAAATAGGTCAGCATTTGGGAAATCTACATAAGCTTGGCGAACCAATATTTTCCAGGTAGACAGGCCATGATATTACAAAATCATGCAGAGGTAAAAGATTCAAAGTGAAGAAGAGACCAGTGAATTTCAATGTAGTAGGACATTCACTGATAGGTTTCAGATCCAGACTGCAACAAATCTTTAATACAATACTTAAGACCTGTTACTTTTTGGTGGAGCATCAAAGAAGAATATCCATGATTATCTGAAAAGATTGTTTAAATACATCTCCTTTTTCCAACTACTGTCCTTATGAAGACAGATTTTTTTGGTATTCATTTCAACCAAACTAATATATTACAACAGATTGAATACAGAAGCAGATGTGAGAATCCAGCTGTCTTCCATTAAGCCACGCATTCGAGATCTGCAAAAATAGGAAACAATGCTACTCTTTTCTTTAAATCTGTCAGTTCAGTTCAGTCACTCAGTCGTGTCCAACTCTTTGCAACCCCATGGACTGCAGCACCCCAGGCTTCCCTGTCCATCACCAACTCCCAGAGCTTACTCAGACTTATGTCCATTGAGTTGGTGATGCCATCCAACCATCTCATCCTCTGTCATCCCCTTCTCCTCCTGCCTTCAGTCTTTCCCAGCATCAGGGTCTTTTCCAATGAGTCTGTTCTTCACATCGGGTGGCCAAAGTATTGGAATTTCAGCTTCAACATCAGTCCTTCCAATGAATATTCAGGGTTGATTTCCATTAATATGAACTGGTTTGTTCTCCTTGTAGTCCAAGGGACTCTCAAGAGTCTTCTCTAGCACCACAGTTCAAAAGCATCAATTCTTCAGCACTCAGCTTTCTTTATGGTCCAACTCTCACACCCATACACGACTACTGGAAAAACCATAGCTTTGACTAGATGGACCTTTGTCAGCAAAGTAATGTCTCTGCTTTTTAATATGATGTCTAGGTCAGTCATAGCTTTTCTTCCAAGGAGCACGCGTCTTTTAATTTCATGGCTGTAGTCACCATCTGCAGTGATTTTGGAGCCTGAGAAAATAAAGTCTCTCACTGTTTCCATTGTTTCCCCATCTATTTGCCGTGAAGTGATGGGACTGGATGCCATGATCTTCGTTTTCTGAATGTTGAGTTTTAAGCCAGATTTTTCACTTTCCTCTTTCACGTTCATCAAGAGGCTCTTTAGTTCTTCTTCGTTTTCTGCCATAAAGGTGGTGTCATCTAAATATTTCTCTAAATATTTTTGTCAAATTAAAAAATTTGCTTTAACAAATAAATTCAACAAAAATTCATAGAAGAATCCAGAATTTTCTCAATTTTAATTTCTAATACAGAAAGTAGTAGCAGACATTACGGACATGAACCAAAGTTCTTTGGCGTCCTCAGGACACAGGGCTCCTGGGCTGACAGTGAGAACCACTGATGTTGTGCTAAAGAAAACAGTTGTTCAGTCACTAAGTCATGTCCAAAAATTCATAGAAGAATCTAGAATTTTCTCAATTTTAATTTCTAATACAGAAAGTAGTAGCAGACATTACAGACATGAACCAAAGCTCTTTGGCATCCTTAGGACACAGGGCTCCTGGGCTGACAGAGAGAACCACTGATGTTGTGCTAAAGAAAACAGTTGTTGTTCAGTCACTAAGTCATGTCTGACTTTCTGCGACCCTAGGGCCTATAGCCTGCCAAGCTCCTCTGTCTATGAGATTATCCTGGCAGGAATACAGATTCCCAGTCAAAAGCACATGGTTGGAATCAATAGATCCATTCCATCGTAGTTGGAGATCTTGTCAAGGTGGACTCCCAAGCCTTGTTTTCTCATAAATGAAGTAGAGACAAAATGGTAATATTTACCTCATAGGGTTGAAGTGAGGGTTAAATGCAATCAAGGAGGGCATTGTACATATTACTTGGCCCAGAAGGTGATAGGATGGTGGCTTTATCATTGTTGTTCTATGATCATGGTTGAAACCCTTTAAGGACAGCTTACAGAAACATTAATAGCAATATTTTGAAAGGTCCTAAAGCATCTTCTTCTCTTTCCAGGATGGAACACCACTTCAGGTATTTGTAGCTGAAGTTGCAGAACAGGTAGTCGGCATCGCAGTGATCAGAAATGAAATGGTAAGCTGGGAAGTGGATATGACTTCCCTTTACTGCGCCTTTTCCTCTCCTGAATCAACGCACGATGTCCCTTTTCTAAGTTTCATTTTTACTTATTTACTATGAATGTCTCCTTTTCCCCGAAGGCTATAGATCTGCTTGCATCCCACTTGGCAGCCACTTTTTTTTTTCAGTCAAAATGTTTAAAATGTTACAAAGAATACATGAAAACATTCACATTCTAAAAATGCAAATAACTTCCCAACACCAAAAAAAGTCCCAGCTCTCTCCCCAAAGAATTACTCTATTGAGAATTATGCATTTATCCTTTCCAACATCCTTTCTTGCACTTAATAACATGCATCGTGTGTGTTTGTTGTTAAGTGGACATCTAATTTTAGTTTGTCCCAATGCACAGCCAATTATTCCAAAGTATTTATTACTGAGCAGTCCATTCTTTCCTTGCTGATTTAAAATGCTGTCTTTATGTTATTAAATTTCCATGTGTCTGTGTCTATTTTTACTCTCTATTCCATTCCATAGATTTATTTGTTAATAGCTATTGCGTTATCATGTGTTTTGGTATCTGGTACGGAAGTCTTCTCTTATTTGTTTTCTTTACCTAAAATTTCTTGGTTTTACTTGACTGTTTTCTTTTCCAGATAAACCTTGTAACACTTACTATGAATTTATTTGTGCCTATGTAGATTTTATAGAACAATTTAGGCAGAACTGATAAATATAATACTGAGCTTCCCACCTGGGAACATAGCTTCTGGAAGATATCAAGGAACTTCTCTCCTATTTCTAGTTCACTAAAAGTTTTTATTGTGCATGCATATTGAATTTTATTAAATGTGTTTTGGCATTTATTGATATGCTCATGTGACTTTATTTCTTCAATGTATTCAAACTATCCTTGTTCTTAGATTCTTTTGATTCAATATGTCCTTAAGAATTTTTGGAGAGAGGGTGGAAGAGGGGTGGGTCTCTGAGTCCACACACATACAGGCTTTCATCTGTCCTTACACCTGAGTTCAGCTGTGTATAGAATTCCTATGCAAATGATTTCTCATCAGAGTGTTGGTTTTACTCTCATCATCTTCTAGTAGCCAATGTCCCAGGTAAAATAAATGTATGTTTGTTTGCTTTCTCTCTTGAGAATTCCCTTTTCCTTTTTATTCCTGAAATTTTTGTAAAGTATCTTATGTCTCTTTTGAGCTTGTGAACCTCTTTCTTCCATGATTTCATTAATTATTTCTTCTCTTTCATTTTCAGTATTCTCCTTGTCTTAAATTCATTTTTAAGTGGAATTGACCCTTCGCTGTCTCATATCTTTCTTCCTGTACTTTTTAATCTCTTGTACTTGTTACTCTTCATTCTAGGAGATTTCCTTGATTTTTGTCTCCCAGATTCCTAATTCACTGTTCAGCCATGTCTATTCAGAACTTCTACTGGAACTTTAATTTCAAAGTTCATGTATTTAACTTCCAAGTCCCTTCCTTGTTCTCTTATTGTTCCTTTATTTTTTGTAGCAGCTTGTTTTTTATATTTTATGTGAGATCCTTTTTGGTATCTCTGAGAACATTTGATAGAATTTTCTTTTTTAATTATCTTCTGTTTGCTGGATAACCTCTGTGTCCTCTGGAGTGAGTGGTATATTTCTCTATCTGATCTTTTGCATTTCTCAGTTTACCTGAAAAGTCTGTCCATGTCATGAATGAGAGATTAAATGATCAGTGCGAATGGCTGGCATGGTCTCCTTGACGGTGTGTTTATCTGCTTCTCCATGACATTGATCTGGCCACTGGGAGGCTGCCTACAAGCTGGGACTCAAGGCTCTCTAGGTTGTTAGCACAGCTGTGAGGAACAAATTCCAAAGCTCTGAGCCATCCTCCAGAAGTAAGCCATCAAAGCAGGTGACTTTCAGGAAATTTAAGCTTTTAGCTTTTCAAAAATTAACAATGAAAATGAGATTAGTAAATAATAGGAGAAAATAACTCATCTCTCATTATTGTACCTAGTCTTTTTTTCTTTCATTGGGCATTTCGCTCAGAGAAGCCCTGGATCTGGTGCACAGGGCAGTGTGTTTCCTCATAGCAAAGCCCTAGAAACAAGTTAGATGTCCATCCAGAGGGGATCAGCTAAATAGACACTCCTCTGGCCACATGCTGGAACATGATAATGCAGGAGAGAATCATTAGCTCACGCTCCAGGTCTCTCCAGGGAAACTTCTTGAAGATCGACCTAAGCATGACCATCAGAGCAGTTCTTTGCTGAGATGGCCGTTGTGAGCTGATAAAGGGCATCCGAGCAGCATCCATTGCAGGACTGAGTCCCTGTTTTCACAACTCAAAACCTCACTGTGGTAAACATCCTTGTGTGTATATCTTTGGGCATGTGTATTCAACTTTTCTCCCCGAGGATGAATGCCATTTAGAGCGGATGCTGGGGTAGATCTCTTCCTAGTCCCACCAGATGTAGTTCAGTCTCTACCCTGGCTCCTTAGGAAGAGAAGGGAAAGGCATGCCCTTAAAGTTATTTTTAAATGATGTTTCTTAGAGGATGCATGCCATTTGTTTAAAACCCTCTTAGGTGTACTTTCTCACCTCTTTTTTTTTTTTTAGGATATAGAGTATATCCGATCTCACTATAACATTGAAGATTTCATCTACTTCAATCACCACCAGCGTGAAGAGCACGGACACCTGTATCACTTTGTCCTGAATCCCATTTTCCGGCACTACACCAAGTTTTTTCTCAAGGAGATCCTCCGTTTAGGATACAAATCTTGTCTCTACTACCCTGTTTACCCACAAGTCAAGGAAAGCAAGGTAAAAGAGTGTCCTCAGTCACTTCTGCAGATAAGCGTCCACGGTGTCATTCGTGTTGTGTGCCAATATTTTATTTCTTCCTCATTCCATGGATTTTGACTATATATGTGTATATATATATATGACACATGCATCATGTATATACACATATGATACATATATATACATATGTGATACATGTATATATGATACATGTGTATTTGACTATATATGGATTTTGACTCTGAATTTCAAATGATCATACTGAATTTGGTCCTTTTCACACACTCTAGGGAAAACCCAGAAGGCTTTGAATTTCTGAAACCATCACAACTCACACAATTAGTAGAACAATTTGTTTGCTTTTCCATATCAACCAAACAGAGACGGCAAGCTATGGAAAAGTGTCCTAAGGGACGTAAGAATCAAATTATCTCTCACATATATTAGTGAATGCTGAAACGTCCCATGATGTTCTTTAGGCAAAGAACATTCCAGTAGTGAACTCATAGGATAAATCAGTTCAATCTTGAATACTGGTATGCTATCATGACATTCCAAATTAGCACTATAACATGTAAAAGTGATGGATGAAAAGTGAAGATAAGTGATACTGATGCAACCTTTATGTAGTGAAACACCTCTATGTCTGCATAGCACTTGTTATGTGTACACACGGAAGCTCTTGCTTCTGTTCATCCTGCTTCAGTCTCCTTCATTGCATTTCTCACTAGCTCGCATTCTGTATTGTTCCGTGAAGCTGGAGCTTTTTGTCCTGTTCAGAGCTCGACCTCCAGTGCCTAGAAGAGTCCCACCTGTGCTCACACACACACTCACTGTCCTGTTTGCTTGCAGGCAAAGGCTTCTCAGAGCTGGACTCCCAGGCCATTCTTTCCTGCGAGATGGTCCCTCTGCCACTGAGTGTGTCAAGATAGATTTGAGGGCTGTTGGGAGTTTAACCCCCAGACTAGGTTGAAATTGTCTCATAATCTGTTTGTGGCTCTGCCTGGATTCTGACACTGTCACTTTTCTTCTTAATTACCACAATGAGCTAAGTGGATTTTTTAAAATGCTCTGAATTATTCAACTGAAAACAATCTAAGGTACATGGGTACATGCACATAACAGTAATTTTTACCAATGTATCTTATTTGACAAATGCCTTTTGGAAGAACAGAAGAAATGGGGGAGAAAGAAGGAAAAACATGGGAAAGATTGGTAGCAAATGGAGAATAGGCTCAAAAGATGATTTTTTTTTTCTGATGAAAACACAGCACAACAGTAACATGAATGCCCCAGATTTGAACTCATGAAATGGGAAGTGTAACAGCTTTGCCTGAAAAGCATGGCCCTGTGCAATTGCTTTGCACTTCCCATTTGGCCAAGTGCCAGCTTGGTGACCTTCAGGATGTGACATTAAATTCTCAATTTTTATTCAGTGGTGTCTGCATGTGCCAGGTTGGTGAGTCTTTTTGCGTCCATCCTAAAAAAATGGTACCTTGAACTGAACTCAGTGGGTGTTCACATATTCCCCTCGTGGTGTAGAATTAGCACCATGTTATGCACTATTGTGTATATAACATAAAAACACACTTGGAAACAGATTTCCTCTCTGTTTACACCTCTGGTTGATTTATACACATCCATTTAAACAAGTGCAAGAAGCAATTCCAAATAGTGCAAATGAGACTCTCCAAATTCTGCTATAAATCCCCAGTCGACAGCAATATAAGTGAACTCTTGACTGACACAACGAAGACAATTTTCTCCACAATCTCCTGCCAGAACATGCGCTGAGAACTTGTCCAGGCTTAAAAACAGAGCTTTGGCTAGAGACCCCAAGGTTCTTCTTTTCAGCGTGTAATATCAGGAGGTGAAGTTCAATGGTGAAGGATTTAAAAAAATCCCTTCTAGAAGCTCTTAAGTTGGGTAACATTAATATCTAAAGCATCCACCTAAAGCATGATTTACCGTAGCCCATTTCAGTAAGTGTAAATCCAGCTCATAATTTAGGATGAATATAAATCAAAATAATCTAATCCAGCCCCTACCTCACCCCCACCTCTCCAGTTTCATCCTTTGATTTTAAAACACTCATTTGATCCAGAAAGGTCCAGTTGAAGTAGCAGTGACTTTCACAAACATGAGGTTGTTCGCATCCCTGCCCTGTTGCCCCTCAGATGACATTTTTTAAATCTACATGCCTTCTTAAGGCAGTTTGTGCCAAAGACACAAAGGTTACCAGGATGCAGATAACACAGCTTATTAATGGGGTCAAATCAAGCTGATTCATGATCACTGTGGAGAATATCCTCCTGGGGAAAATACTTGCGCTGAAAAATCCCATAAACCAAACCACTTGTTTATCTGTCATTCCCACAGAGATAGTAATGCAATTACTCCCATAATTATCTTCATTAGTGTCAGGCATTATCTACAATTCATTCCTCTGCTCGAAGAGTATGTTTGTTTATTTGCCGATCTCCCCCTTTTCCCCCCACCCGCCCTCCAGTTGTCGAGTCTGGCATCTGTGCGATCGGGCTCCCACGCCCTCCCGGCTAAAATAGAGGTTGCTGTCTCCCAGGTCCAGAGCCCCAAGGCTTACTCGCTGACGTCCGCCCTCCACTACTTGGTTCCCGTGCGGCCCCGACGACAGATTGTCTATCCCCTGGAAAAGCTTGGCATCAACGCTCCATCAAAGGAGGTCTCCAAGGACGCGGTGGGTAGCCGGCGGCAGCAGGCGGGGCGCGGTGCCTGCACGGCGGGGCGTGGCAGATGGGGCGGCGCTGGAACGGGGGCCTGGGGCGGCTCCTTCATCCCCGAGCCCAGGCTCCCCGCGGCCCCTGCCCTCGGGTGGTGCCTCCGCGGAGAGCACGGAGCAGGGCGCCGAGGGGTCCTTGTGACGCGCCCCCTGCATCTCAGGACCAATGGGGCTGGCGTCAGCCTCCCAGCATCGTTGTGGGCTTTGCCGCCTTGCTGCAAAGCACATGCCCCTTCCCTCAAGCTTTTCGTTGCACGATTTGAGAACCGGTATCTGGCAGCATTAGGACGTCGGGGCTGAGTCTGAGTTGGGTTTTGTTCACTCTTCCGTGGGCAGTCAGTGCTGCCCTGGGGGGCGGCGGTGTGTGGGGTGGGAGCGCCGGGGGTGGGGGGGGGGGGGACGTTAAAATGACAGCCCTGGGCCGCCCTTACCAGGAGAACAGAGAAGGAACCACGCAGAGCCTAGATTTCGCTTTCAAGTGGAAGTGTACGTGTAAACAGCCACACACACAGGGCCAGCCATGTTCAGGAACTTGGCTGTGACTTAGGCTGACTCACAGGCGAGCCTGTTCTGTTTGTGCACACTTCCGCATCAATGAGAAAGACAGCCCTCAGTGGGATGACGTTTGTCCTCTGTGAGAGAGAAAAAAAGTGCAAAGCTTAAATTCTCCAAACCTTTAGCCAAGGAGCTGGTCATCAGAGCTGCATGTGGTGCTCAGACCAACTGAGAGAAGCCTGGTGCTGCCCAAAGTCGTCACCACACTGTCCCCGGCTCCTGCTTTACTTGCTGGGGCCGTTTTGGGGCGGGGGGATGCTCCACCAAGACCCATCTTCGAGGCAACTGCTGACTGTGACCCAGGTTGCTGTAAGTCCTACATTTATCTCTAAATTATAAAATTAAACAGAAATTTTTAATTTATTTTCTGATAAGTTCTAACTTTGTCTTTGAGTAGAGACTGAAAACAAAGCAATCCTCTTTGCCCTCTCCCAGTCTTGATCATGGAAAACGTGAGGCATCCACAAGAAGCAGAGCGAATCCTGTGACAGAAAAGATTCCCCCGACCAAACCAAGAGACTTTATCTTCTTTTTTTTAGTGTACAATCCCTCATAGACTGGTAGTTTTATGAAGCATGATTTCCTGAAAGAAGGAGGTTAAAAACAGAGGCCAAATTCAAGTCTTATTATTTTCTTACTAGATTTCACAGACCCTGAATTACTCTGTCTTGCTCTAGAGGGCTTCCCAGGTGGCACAGTGGTAAAGAATCCATCTGCCAATGCCGGAGATGTGGGTTCAATCCCTAGGTTGGGAGGATCCCCTGGAGGAGGAAATTGCCATTCACTCCAGTATTCTTTAACTGGGACATTCCATGGACCGAAGAGCCTGGTGGGCTACAGTCCACGGGGTCAGAAAGAGTCAGACATGACTGAGCACACAGGCAACCTTGCTCTAAAAGCTTCTGAAGAAAGATGGGCCCCTGTCTCAGCCCACTTGATGAGCTTCACTGAAAGTCCCAGATCCTCCACCCTCAGCTGCAGCAAGTTTCAGCTCTTGGCCAGTTTTGCATCTACTGTGTCCCCACCCAATATCCCCTCCTCCTTTATCATTTTGCAGCAGGTACATAGCACTTCACCCAGGACCACAGGTGTGTTGTTAGGTAGCAGGGCCCCAGCATCGCATACTAAAGAGGAAAGGGCTCAAGCCCATCTGCAGGACCACCAGCTCAGCCACCAGGTAGCCTGTAGGGGTGGGGAGACCAGGGGAAAGGACTTTCATAATGAGATCCAAGAGAGTGTGTTGGGGTCAGGGAGGGTGGCTTCATCTCTACCCATCACTGAAACATGGCTTGCCTGACGTCATGTGATCCCAGGAGAAGGGCCCACAGGCGCAAGGTACAGACATGCTTCTGTGTGAGAGGTGCTGCCTATATGCACCCACTGCTGAGATGCACTAGAGTTTGGGTAGACCACGCAGTTGGGCCAGGAGAAGCCCCCCGACATCAGTGGCAGCCCATGGCCCCAGTGACTTCAGCTGGTCACTGGGGGGCACGAGTGTGCGGCTAGAGGGACAGGGAATAGTTCAGGGCTGCTGACTTGGTCGAGAGCAGCATTCCTGAACCTCCAGCATCTCCCACCCCTGGGAATCTCCAGAACTGGATGACTTTGAGGTGAGCTGGACTCCGGGTGGGGAAAAAAGCCAAAGAAAACATTCTGTTTCATTAACAACAACCCTACCATAGCTTTCCAGATTTCTACGAGTTGAAATCCTTGCTCACATTTAATAAGCTTTTCTGTGGTTATCTCTGTGTGTGCTGCCCCCCGGCCCTGCCCTAGAGCCTTGGCTTATTTCAAGACGGAGCACAGGATGGATTTTTGAATCCCTACTCCAGAAAGTCAGCCATGGTGTGGCTGGTGCTTGGTATCTGCTGCTTTGTGCTGTATGGTTTACTGCATTGGTGAATTCTGATTTTTTTTTCTTTTTCAAAAAAAAATTATTTATCTTTAATTGAAAGATAATTGCTTTACAGTGTTGTTTTGGTTTCTGCCAAACATCAAGATGAATCAGCCATAGGTATACAGTGAATTCTGATTTTTTAAAGAAGTACTTTACTGCTGCTTGCTGCTGTACTCATTCTCAAGAAGGCTTTAGTAAAGACCTAGATTTAGTCAAAATGTAGAAGTCTTGAAGTACAACCAAAGGATTATTGAGAGCATCATCCACATGGAATGAGCTTGGATGCTCAAACATTAAAATGCTATTATGTCACATTACTTTAAATTTAAAAAAGGTTGTAGGTGGGTTTAATGTTTTAGGCTGTTTATCTGAGACAAGGTGAGCCAGATGGAAACTTTTCAGGAGGAATTTCTTTTTTAAGATGATTTTGTTTATTTTTGGCTGTGCGGGGTCTTTGTTACTGCGCGGGGGCTTCTTTGAAGTGACTTCTCTTGTTGCAGAGCACGGGCTCTGGAGCACAGGCTCAGTAGTTGTGGTGTTCCGGTCTAGGTGCTTCTTGGCATGTGGGATCTTCCCAGACCAGGGATTGAACCCGCATCTCCTGCATTGGCAGGCAGATTCTTTACCATTGAACCGCCAGAAGGAAGCCCCTAAAAGGAATGTCTACAGGGTTCTAAGCACACTGATTTCTTAGCAGAGCAAATAGTATTGCAGCTGCTGAAGTTGACAGATTGTCTGACTAAACGAATCCCTTTCTGTCCCTTTAAGTTTTACACTCCCCTGTGTGCCTGGAGCTTCATTTGGGACTCAGCTCCCTCACAGAGGTTTCTCTCTCTGGGCACTGGCCTCTCATACATTTTATCCCATTTAAGCCATCTCAGACTGACCATCCATTCCCTAGCTTTCACCTGGCAAGCCAGTCTTCAAGGGAACAGATCACCCCAGGCATGAGTAATGGGATAGAAAGCGTTTCATCTCGGTGGGTTGCCAATTTGACGCTGGCACAAGCCAGCAGTGATTGAAATTCATCATCGCATGGCAGAGAAACACGCCCCCTCCCACCCCGAGGCCAGGATGCTGCTGTCTGGTCTAGATGAATCGTGTCCCTTCCACCAAACCTGCTCTGTAGTTCGTATCAATTGACAGCCTACTCATGTCAGGTCACAGGAAGGGACCTGGAAAATGCGTGAATGATTTTCATCACACATCACAGGGCTGGGCCCAGAAGATTCATCATGTTGCCAGTCAACCAGTAGATTCATGGATAAAGGGAGGCTTTTTCCTGACCATAATCCACATGGCGTGGACCGAGAAGACTCGCTTCTCATCTTGAATGGGCTGTCTCGTCGGCCTGTGCATTTGCGTTCTTAGAATTGTTCTGATGGGAATTTTTAATGAAATGAATCAGTGTGGCCCACTTGCATGAGAACCGTGATCAGGGAAATACTCAAAATTTGGTTGAATGGATGACTATATTAATTACAAACTATAGAGCAGTTTGACTTACTCTGGGGTGGTTCTCTGTGCAAGCTGACTTGCTTCCCTTCCTGCCTCCCACTTAGGGATTCAGAGATGACCATGACAGGGTCCCTGCCCTCAGGGAGCTTACGGTCTAGTGTCAGTATTGGGACACTTCGTGGGACTGCTTTATGCTCTTGCTCATCAGTCGTGTCTGACTCTTTGCAAGCCCATGCCAGGCTCCTCTGTCCATGAGGATTCTCCAGGCAAAAATACGGGAGTGGGTTGCCATGCCCTCCTTCAGGGGATCTTCTTGGGGTTGGTTAAACCAGGGATGGGGGAGGATGCACTGGCCCCAGGGAGCAAGAGAAGAACAGCCCTACTGGGGTTGGACCTGTTCTGTGGAATCCCTTGGGAGGGGCAGATGTGTCTGAGGCATGCTTTCCTTTCCAAGACCGGGGTTTTAAATGACTCTTACTTGTGATAATAAACACCAGAAAATCTGCTTTGAACTTAAAAATCTCCTCCCTTTGCTTCAGTACCAGGAGATGCTCCCTGTCATTCACTTCAATCACTTTGGTTCTCTGTGTTGATTTAGAGTATTCTAAATGAATGAGAGTGTCAATCCATCTCTCCTTTTTTTTTTTTTTCTTCCCCAAAACTTTTTGGACCAGATCAATCTATCATCTTTCATATAACAGAACCATCTCAGGAATCAGATGTTTAGAGTGATCAGTGCTTGTGTGTGTGTGTGTGTGTGTGTGTGGTTGTTTATTCATGACGGTCAGTTTAAATCTGGACTAACGAATTCTTTGAGGCCCCCGTTTTCCCTTTGTCCTTCTACAAAGTAAGAACGACGGTTTGTTTAACCCCCCTTCTCAGAGCTAAGTGCTGGCCCGCCTTTCCTGATGTGTGAGCTCTCAGGAAGATGTCCGCTCTGGCATTCGGTTACCCTTTGAATCGCCCCTTTCATCTGGCTGCTCTTCCCCAGTTCAGCTGTAATTACCATCTGATGGACTGCTGCTGGATACTGTTTCCCTTGCGCATC